TGTGGCCGTGGTCTTGGCATCGTAGGACCTGATGTTTCACCAGCAGCTGTGACTGGCATCCTCACAGCTGCTGGCAAAATGTCAGGTCTTGCAATGCCAAGACCACGGCCACACAGTCCGGAAAATAGCTGAACTAGTGTTCATAAAAACCCAGTATTCGAATGCTGATATAGTTTTTGCCTTCAGATACTGATACATTTGAAAGTAGGCTCAACCTACTGTCTGTAGAATATAGAATTACGTTTTCCCCATCTTCAAGTATATCCATATTTAAGGAAACATGAATGCCTGTAATAGTTGAAAGCCATATTAGTGTCTGCTCCTGTATGTAACAGCTGCCTGGCTCATAGCCTGTAGACTAAATATGGGAGAGAACATTACGTAACTGAAAAGAAGGGCTGTGACTATCAAAGATTGACTGATGTATCATAGCATGAGCTAGTGTGATTCAGCAGAGAATTAGAAGTGAATTCAGGCAGCTAAGGTTCAAATTCCCACTATCTACTTTATGGAATTGAACATCTCTCTGCTTCAGTTCCTCATCTGTAAAACAGGAATAGTCTCTTGGTTTCTCGGGTTATGATGAGAACTGTCACAAAGACGACTTCAAAATGTTTCATAAGTTATAAAAAGTTTAAAGTGCAAATTACTCCATAATGGATGATCAAACGTTATGGATTATGAACTGCAGAGGACTGACATGCTTGCTTTGTACTAACTCTTTAGGTTAGAACTACCATTTACCAAACAGCAACTTACCACTATGTGCATGTAGCCATTTGGTAAACTAACTGCCTGTGCTGAATGGCAGAGAGCTTTCCCCACTTTCCTGGAATTCTGAGTGCATAGCCTGGGATTAGTAGCGATCTGGTTTTTCAGATCAGCATCTAAGAATGACGGCATGGTAACTGAACAAGTCCTTAGCTGAAAGCCTTATCCCTGTTGCTGCTTGCCTTTCAGCTAGTATTGAAGACTTGGCTAATAAGTCCTCTTTGAGCTCAGTATAGCATCCTTCTCCTCATGTCTGTAAATTTAGTTTAGTGCTCTAATTCAGTAGTTAACTTCTCGGTGTTTCGTACCATTATGTCACTTTGATAATCCTGAAAATAAGATTCTCATCATTTGTAAGACGCTACAGGTGACGGGCACACCAGTGACATCTTGATCATTCAGATTCATAGATTCTCATATGCAGATAAGGATAATTTCCACCTTCAGATCAGACAGGTAAATTTAAATACACATAAGTGTCTGGTCAGTGCGTTGTGTATCCTGAATATACAACGAACTTTAGGGCTCTCTCTGAAAGAATACAGTAAAACAATTAGTGTAGATAAATCAGTGTGTATTGCCCTGACCTGCATCGCAGAGCAGGGTTGGCCCTGGCTCGTACTTGGATGGGATGCCACCAACGAAGTCCAGGGTTGCTATGCAGAGGCAGGCAATGGCAAACCACCTCTGAACATCTTTTGCCTTGAAAATCCAACAAGGTTGCCATAAATTGGCCGCAACTTGACGGCACTTTCAACTAAAGGCAAAGGTTTCCATTGCTCGAAAGCTAGTCGGATCTGACTCTAGGGGGTGGTGCTCCTCCTCGTTTCCAAGCCAAAGAGCCAATGCTGTCTGAAGTTTCCGTGGTCATGTGGCCGGCATGACTAAATGCCGAGGCACTATTTATCTACTTGCAATTTCTTGCTTTTGAACTGCTAGGTTGGCAGGAGTTGGGGCTAGAGATGGGAGCTCACTTTGTCACACAGCACTCAGGTCTCGAACTGCTGAACTACCAACCTTCGGGTCTGCAGCTCAGCCTCTTAACCTCTGAGCCACTGTGGCCACCACTACGTTCCACTAACATTGTTAAATTCCATATCTACAGTTACTTGCAGAAATGCATAAAGAACACCTTCAGCAGAATACTACTTACTGCTCTAGAGGGCAAAAGGAACACTTTCTGGTTTAGAGTTAAAATAAATTAAAAACACAAAAATCCTCTTCTCCAACAAATCAAATAACCTTCAAGTTAGTTCTCAAAAATAATAATTTGTCTTAAATAGAAGTTACCCCTGGTTTTTGTTAAAGATTGCATTCCACTTTACTTTCAAAACTGCAGTTAACCCTTAGAACAATTTTTCTCCTCACAGGGGAGATACTGTCGTTCACTTTTGGAATATGGATTGGGAGTGGGGGGAAACATCATTTTTGTTTGCCAGTTCTATGGTGGTAGTAGGAAAAAAATCCAACTTCAGCTCTCAGAGCACCATCTATAGGCCAAGCACGCAACAGCTATAGACAAGAATGCAGTCTCTTTTTTTGCCATCAAGTCAGAACCAACTTATAGTGACCCCATAGGGATTTCAAGGCAAAAGACATTCAGAGGTGGGTTGCCGTTGCCTGCCTCTGGGCAGACATGCTGGTATTCCTTGGTGGTCTCCCATCCAAATACTGACCAGGGCTGACTGCTTGGATCTGATGAGATCCAGATAGCCTGGGCTATCCAGGTCAGGTTTAAGACAGAATAAATGACAGCAATGACTGAATCATTTCTTACCATTTACAGTAAAAGGCTAATGCATATAGACTTATATGCTTTGTACTCCCGAAGATTTACAACCTGAGGAGAGGGGGGAAATCAATTTGGAAAATCCCTCCCCTCCCCAACAATGCTATAGCACAAGTCTGTTGGCGCTATAGACTAGTTTTCTATTCATCTATGTGCAACTCAGAAGTCCACTAATGAACACCAACCGGTAAGTTGCTCATCTGACTCCGAGTCTGCGGTACAACACAGCAGCAGTGTTTTTACCTGCCCCCCAAAAGCTTATGGGAGTGTAGCCCTGTTCACATTACAATAAATGTGTACAGTGCATGCTTAATTTTTCCATTATGCATTGTGTTGAGTCATTCTCATGTTGCGTTAAACTCATGTGCACCTGAACATGTGATTTAAACCCCACATTTATCCAGGTACTGGTCTTTGGTTTCATTTGTAAAGTGAAGGCACATTTGCTCTTTCTTACAAACAGGTGTACATATGTACATACATAGTAATGTAAACAGAGTTAGTAAGAGGGAGAACAGATGATATAATTTCTGTTCCTAGATTCAGGTGGGCAGCCATGTTGTTCTGAAGCAGCAAAACAAAGTTTGAGTCCAGTAGCACTTAAGACCAGCAAAGTTTTATTCAATGTATACACTTTCATGTGCATGCACACTTCTTCAGATACTTTGAATAAAACTTTGTTGGTCTTAAAGGTGCCACTGGACTCAAACTTTATTTCTGTTCCTGTTCTGGAATACATTCCATCAGTTCTCTTCAAGATCCCAGCAATGTTTGAAATATAGACCGGAATTTTCCTTGGAAGTTTTAATTCCTGTTGCGTGCCACTTGATACTTATAGACAGCTGCCATCTCAGTTCATTTAAATGCTGGAGCAAAGGAGTTCAGGGTCAAAAAGATAGGTGGCTTGCATAGTTGTAGATGGAAAGATAGTTGTAGATGGAAAGGGAGCATAATTCAGGAAGAGGAAGAGAAACCATGCTCATCTGCTATTGTCACCACTACTGATATAGATACCATATCTGCCCGTACTGTAGGGCTGGCAAATGACAAAAGCAGCAAATCTGGACCCCACACAGACAAGGCAGTGACTTCACAGACATAAAGGACTGCAGAAAAATGCCTTTGTCACGTAAACCAAAAGAAAATAGTCCCAAAATATCCCAGGAACAAGGAATGTTGAGATCTACTGTATGTCAGGTAAAAGGGAAAGAACTCATTGAACCCTTGAGGGGGAGAATTTGTCCCCAATCTATTAGGGAACTTCAGTGGACAGCCAGTGTGGTAGTAACGGTTACAGGGTCAGGCTAAGAACCTGGGGAAACCAAGTTCAAATCCCTGATCAAGCTTATGAACCAAATTGAGTACTTAGAATAGTCACTTTCTCTTAGCCTAATCTACTCACAGAGCTGTTGTGGGACAAAACAGAAGGAGAACCATATAGACCTCGGAGGGAGAGTGGGATAAAAATAGAATAGATTCTCCTAAATCCATACAGTTCTATGCACTTTTTTCATTCTTTAGAGAAGCAAATTCTTGTTATCTTTGGAAATGACTATCAAAAAAAGAGCTGTCATATCCCAACAGAAGTTTGCAGGGTTTAATTTTCTATGAGCTCTCTTAACTGATCTGGGATTGGTATGGAACAGGCAACTCCAATCCACAAGGCTACTATTCATAAACAGAGAGTTTAAGCATCGGCTACCAGATACTACAGATCAAGAACTGTTTATAGTCAGCTTTACTGAAGTGTTCAGACACTTTTTTCAAGCTGTAAACAGCTCTATCTTGCAGCAGCTCTGGAGAGTTAATCATTTTTTAAAAGTTACTTACCAGATTAGCAAAGAATTTGCACAAACATAAGGCATAAGTTAAACAATATATACATTTTTATTAACAAGGGCATCCTCACTGTGATTGAACAAAGCAGTGGGAAGTACAAGGACTGGACAGCATACATGACAATTTTATAGTTTTAACAAAAATATTGGCATATGAGACTTATATACAGTTGTATTTCCATACAGTAACAATGCTACCATATTTTATACACAGACATAAAAGGTAACATTTTGAAAACAGAATGCAGATCATAAAGAAGTCAAAAATACTGCCCCAAGTCTAAAAATATCAATCTAAAAAGGATCAAGGTCTCCATCATTTCCTGAACACTACCTATCCATTCACTGAAACCTTTGCTGAAAACCATATGTGAAATATCAAAAATATATTGATGAGTCTATCACTAATCATGAATGCTCATATTTACATTAAGTTACCAAACTCATCACCAAATGCTTTATTTACAAATCTCTATTTGCCCTTTGTGAAAGTCATTAAAAGTTTAAAAACCATAGAAATGCTCGTTAGAAACAATGCATTCCAAAAACAAATTATATTTGTTTACAGCAATTCTTACCATGTGAAAATAAATGTATGCAAAAGCCTATTTGAATACAAGTACTCTCACAAATGTTTTTTAATTCCAATATGAAGTGAAATTTTTCATCAAGATTTTAGGGTGCCGATCCTCTTTTCAGCAATGCTGCAAGACAAAAATGAATCAATCCATTAGGAATTAATTCCTATGAAGTCTGCATTAGATTTTATTGAGTTTTGTTGAAACTTAAAATGTGTTACCATAACCTTGTGTCTTACAGGTATCTTAACTTTTTAAAAATGTGATCTTTCATGATCTACATTTCAAGAGTATTTGCAAACTAAATGCCTGCTGTACTGTACTGTACAACTTGTGCGGCATGGAGCCTGCCATAACACTGCAGTGGGGATTCTTCACTAGCAAAGAAAAGTAGTACGCATAAACAGGAAAGTAAGCAAGGATCAACAAGAGTGACAGATTTAGAGATTCTGTAGAACAGGCAGATGATGGTATCAGAGGAAGACAGATGCATTGACAGACAAAAATTTTCTGTTAGAAAAGGGGCATAATGAGAAACTGCAAAAAACCTACTGCAAGTCCAGCAGGCAGCCACAGACAAGAGTATGAGATTCCATACCTTTTTACCAGATGGGTATTTTGTAACAAACCACAGTGGTTGAAGAGTCTCCTAATTTATTCAGATTCTATCCAAACTCCATGTCAAAACTCACCTCATGAGGAGAAACAACTTCCCAAAATAATGCCTCCTTAGAGACCTATATTTTACAGTCCCAGTGTGAACTATTACAAGATTAGCTATGCTTGACCTAGAAGTCTAGACCTACATTGCAGTTCTGGAGGCTGACTGGTACGCCTCTAAGGATGAAATTAAGGAGTCAGCACATACACAATGAAAACAAAACAGGATAGAAATGCATTACTGAGCAAATGGATGACTTTCTTCCCAGTTTAAATCAGCAAGGAAGATTGGTGGAGAGAAAAGAAACTAATTTAATATGATGCAGAACATGAAATTTTACAGAAGAATGTCAGTTTATAATAAATACTGGCTTCAAGGTACATTATAAATCTTAATGTCACAGTACAGTAGAATTAAACTCATATTTTCAAATTATTACTGGAATACTGTTTCATGTTTACCATTTTTCATAAAGGTATGAGAATAAAACTATTCCATCCTTCTATACCAGCCATTTAAGAAGTGGCCATAGCATAGTTAATTTAGGATTCTTCATGCAGAAACTATACTAAGGAAGATGGAGCTTCCCAATGTGCATTTCATTATGTATGTGTTTAATTTGTTAGCTTGCTTGATGGCCCTTATGAGGCAAAAAGGCAGGGTATAAATTTTGTAAAATAAAGATACACATCATACCAGTTGTGAACTTTTTTGTGTACTGCCCCATTTTCTGCCCTAGAGATGCAAAAGAGAGCAGACAGTCCTATCTAATCTGATCAAGAAAAGGGTAGAACAGAGTAACTTCTACAAGACAAAAAAAAGGAGCCCTACAGCATGGTTTGGCTACTTATTCTAAACACATGCTTGATAAACTTGCTATCTGATGCTCATTTGCAGCAACGTAAAGAGTACAGGAAGCACAGAAAACACTAACCTACCGACATAATAAATCCATGTACAGTGGACTACAGACTATACTTTGTATGGATCTAGATGTACCTCTCAAGGGAGAGAAGCCAAACGTGGGGGAAATTTCCAGGCTAACAAGCTGAACAGAACCTTATGTCTGTTGAAGCTTAAGGGGAAAAAAGATACAGCTGCAGGGAACACAGCTGTAGAAGATCACATCAGAGAAAGAAAAATTTACCCTGTCAATACAAAACACAAACGCAGCACATAAAAATTAACACACACACCCCCAATACATACATGGTTGGTAAAATTCAAGTAGATGATGCTACTGTGAAAGGACCCAAATTAATACAGTTTATGAGAAAACACAAACCATATGTTGTCAAAACAACAGTCACACTCAGAGTACCCCGAAATATGACTGCTAGAAGCACAAAATGAATGATGGGATTTCCTTGACCGTTGACAAAACAGGGTGTTGGGTTTCAATGGTGTTTGGTCCATTTCTCCACCAGAAGTTAAGTTATTCAAGAGACAGTCTCAGGTTTTCCTTTTGACAGGAACAGAGCGTGTTGTTTTTTACCCCGATTAGCTTCCTTCAGGATTTTTCTCTTTACCCAATTAGTTACTGCTCTGTCGCTGGACTTTTGGCCCAATGCTCTGCGTTTCCTCCTCTGGATTTGGGCGTTTCCCAGTGCAAACAACAGTACCAAGGGATGTTCTTCCTGCAAATTCAAACCAAATAGCTACTTTAAGAAACTTGTTTTTATACAAGTGAAAGTATGTGCATTATAAAATGATTTATTCCACATTTTTTACTCAGAAGAGCATTCAAAACCGCTTACCACAGGTGATTGAAACAAGCATTGGAAGTTGCAAATATACATGCAGAGAGAGATTAAAGTGCCTCATTGAAAAAAATGTGCAGGATACGGCTGCAGAAGTAATGCAGCAACAATCTAAAAAATCTCTTTGAAACACCATAAGACTACTGCAAATGAAACATACCTTGCTGGATTAAGTGTGCTTTTTTACTGTCCCCGTGGGCATAATGCAAAATACCACTCCCTTGAGTGTAACCTGTTAAAAGGAACATTTGAACAATTTTTAAATGCATAATCAAAAGGGAAGCAACAAAAAATTCTAAAAGCAACTCTAGCAACTCTTTTGACTATCACGGAATCAAATACATAAAAGATGTAGACAATTTAAAGTGTTCTTTCTCAAATCTGAAGGTATCCAGCACCATCTCAGTTTATCTGAAGTAAAAAAGACTCTGAAGTGCAATTACTTAAGGTTGTAATCAGTGGCTTAGGTTTTCCAAAAAAATCAAAACTGGAAAACTTTTGTGAAAACTATCCAGTGCCCTAAACTCTAAAATTGAGGGGGTTTGTCGCACTAACTATGCCCAATTACCGTATTTTCCGGACCATAAGACGCACTTTTTCTTCCAAAAAAAGTGGGGGAAGAAGTGTGTGCGTCTTATGGACCGAAGGTGGCGCTGCTGCATCCAAAGAATGCCCCCCCCCCCCGGCGCCAGAGCGCTCAGCTTCTTAGCCGCCAACTCACAGGCTT